AGGGAGTGCCTCACAGTAAGTTAAACTGAACAGTGAGTATATGTGTATGTGTACAGTGCACACATTGAAATTGGTGCTAGCTTACACTACCCTGTCATCAATTTGTACACAGAATTTGCCTTCTGGTGTGCAAGAAAACCCTTTTATGGACTTAAAAGTTGTTTCAGTAATGGCCATCATGTGACCCTGGGGATAAAAATGCAGAAGTAAGTTTTACGTTACTTTACTGACTCTTTTTTGAGTTTTGTATGACAGATTACAAAGAATCTGACTGCCCGCATTGTAGCGGAGACCGATGAGACACTTATGCTTGACTTAAGCACTAAACTAGATATGCCACTTGTCATTAGACTTTTATATGTATGTGCATATAAACTCTCAAACTTTGTATGTGTTGATCTGTTACCTATGTTCTCTTTAGTCAAGAATAGAAAGGCAGAGATAACTTAGAAATTTGCTGGTTTTCTAATAGTGACAACAAAATAATTGCCAGAAAGCTGGTATTTTGCAAGAATATGATAATGAAAAGTGGACAAGTCTTTTTAAAAGTTAAGGATTTTATTAAACTCCAGATGTTTCTTGTAGTTATACTTTAGAGTAGCCTGCACAGGTAGTGTGTATTGTTTGATATCACAGCCATTCCTGTTAATGATTAACTGTCTTCAGGAGATTCTAAATCAAATGGCAGTATTTAAGAGTTGTTATAATTAGTTTGTTGTGTTGTTAGTTTCTCTTGGAATAAAAAATTAAGTTGTTCTAATCTTGGAATAATTTTATTTAAAAAAAGCTGCATAATTGTCAGAACTAAGAAATGATTATAGGTACATTACTGTTAACTATACTATAGACTAATTCAGACTACTGTCCCATGATTCAATCCAAAATACTGCATTCCATTTAGTTGCCATCTATGTTTGCTTTAAATGGTAGTTTTCCTTTAAAACTGGCAGGTTTGCACAAAAAGATGACCCCTCCCCTCACAGAAATTTTTAATTTGTTGGTGCTTCTACTGTTTAAATTTTGTACTGAAAGTGTAAAGCCCTGTATCTATTTAATTCTGCTAATAAACCTTGTTGGCAAAGATTTGCTATTTCCACAGACCAGGTTTCAGTGTAAAAGTCAGGAATTTTGGTTTTGAATGTTTTGGTAGCAAATCAAATTGTTTGATCTTTGCTGTAGCACTCATTAATATTTCTGGTCATTGACACTGAACTCATATCACTTAATAGGGAACAGATTGATCCAGTATTAAGCTCCTGACTGTTTTTCATATGTTGTCTCTTTTAAGCTTCACAAGTGCTGGGGGAGGTACTTGTCATCATAATCTCACAGTTGAGGAAAGTTAAGTGTCTTACCCAAAGTTTGCAGCTAGTGAGCATTAAAATTCATATATATAGGACCTCCCTTGGTGGTGCAGGTGGTTGAGCACAGCACTGTGAAGCTGTCTGCAGCCTCTGCAGCGCAGGTTTGACCCTGGCCTGCGAGAATCCCACATAGCACAGCAGACCTGTGCTGTCTCACTTGCTGCTCCCCTCAACAGTGTATTTCAGTCAGTCTGCTTGTTCTGTTCCCTGCTCTGTCTCTGGTGAATCCTCTCACCCTCCCGCGAATCTGGCCTGTACCCGGGTTCCTGTATGCATGAATAAATAAATCTTAAAAAAATTCATATAGAAATGTCTAAAACCCTTGTCCTTTCCAATACCTTTAGTATTATTTTTGTCCCCAGGAAACAAATAGTCTGTTTGAAAAAATAAGTTGGTTAGATATGTTTTTAAAATAAGCAACAACTAAATTTATTCTTTACAAAATACACAAATAAATAAAATGATTGATTTCTAAAATATCATCTTCCAATTCTGGTGGCAAAGGGAAAATGGAGTTGCAATTAGGTTGGCTGTGACAGAGCTGCCAGAGACAGTCATTTCCCAACCAGGTTCATGGGCCACTAGGATCCAAGAAAGTGACAGAGACGAGGCTACTGGGTCTTGCATTCTGGCATGTCAGACCCAGAGGAGGTGAGCCAGGCACCCGGCTGAGGGGCCACATTCTCTGCTCCGGTGGTCTGTTCTTCTGAGGGAAGAAAGCAAAAACAGAAACAATCATATTAAAAAATACACAGAACCAAATACAACTGGGAGTGGAAAGGATGCGAGGAAAGCAGAGATAAGAAAAAAGGAAAAAGGCCAGGTGCCCATTAACTTCCTCTGGCTTGGCTAAGAAGCAATCCTCACGTCGCCTATTTTGGATAGATGTATCCCACTCTCTCTCTCAAATTTTTTTCACAAGTAAAAACCATATCTATAAAATGAAGTAAACTCTTACTTGGAATTCAGTAATTTGAGATTCAAAGTGATCAAATAGATGATTTTCTTTTGACTTACTTTTAGAAAAATAGTGTGCTAAATAAAGAGTATGTGTTTTAGAGACAATTTAGCCACCTTTGGAAAACTTTGAGACTTTAGAAAGCTCGCTCAGTCTCCTCTATTGTTTAAAAATAACACTCATGGGCCTCCCCGGTGGCGCAGCGGTTGAGCGCTGGGTTGCGAAACTGCCCGCGGCCTCTGCGGCGCCGGTTCGATCCCCGGCTGCTCCCCGGCCACCGGAGGAGGATCCCACATGGTGCGCAGACCTCTCCTGCCACCCGCTGCTCCCCTCAGCAGTGTGCTTCGGCCCTTCTGCCTGCTCTGCTCCCCGCTCTGGCTCTGGTGAATTCTCTCACCCTCCCGCGCTTCTGACTGTACCCAGTGCATGTATAAACAAGACAAACAAATATAATAAATAAATAAATAAAAACATGCCTCTATAAAAAAAAAAAATAAATAAAAATAACACTCATTTTTAAAAGTTATTATACTTATTAAAGTAAATTGAGTATACTTGGTTTTAATAATTAGGTTGTTGAGATAATTTAGATTACCTTTTGTAATTAAAATTAATGACTGACATTAAACAATTTTTAGACTCATTTTATAAATTCAAGCTGGAACTATGTCCTTTAACTCTGAAATGTCAGTTTTTGATTTACGTATTCCTCCAGGCTACTTTTTATTTACTTCACTTAATAAACAGTACCAGAGACAGTCATATATTGATAAAATGACAGGCATTTTTATTTGTTTGGAGTAATTCATATTTTGCACGTGTTGCCTCTGTCACTATCAGATAACTCAGATTTTCAAGCCTCCTAAAATCTCACGTGTGACATAGTCCAAGCTCCCTGTGTTAGCCAGTGGACAGTTCCTAAATGTTTGTTAAATACTAGTTGGGGGATATACCCCCCAAAATGTCCTTCCTGTCCCCCTCAGAGCATGTCCAGCTGCTGACATGCTCTAACTTTGGGGTGTAATAGATGTATACGGCCTCAGACCGTGCAGCTGTGCTCAAGGCTTCTCCTGGTTCAGCAGCCCCTATCCTCAGGCCCAACAGCTGCTGCAGCTCCCGATGGGTGAGGCACCGCCCCACAGGACTCTAGCTGCACATATGGGTCATGTGACAAAGGTTGTGTCACCAGGAAGGTGACAAGAAATGCCTGTTGCCCAGAGCCTCCTGCCTCACCCCATCCTGACAGCACTCATGGGGAGGGTGGGTCCTGATCCCCTTTCTGCCCCATGCACTGATTTTACTCTCACATTTCTCTCATCTGTCCTCTCATGCTGTGTCACTTCCTGCTGCACCACTGCCACACACTGCTGTCACCACTCACTGTTCAGCAGACAGCACAGGCTGTACCACCTACAGGCCTGGGGTCTGGCTCTGCTCTCGGCCCCAGGTCCACCTGCAGAGGCCTCTGTGCTCTGTGGCCCTGTTTCTGCCCTCCCACTGGGGCCATCACCCACCTGTAGGTTAAATAACTCATGGTAATGCCCTTCAAGGAGCATTCTGTTCCTTTCAAGGAGCACCTCTAGTATACCTAAAACAAAGGTGGTGACATATCTCCTGGCCCCTGTACTCTAGAATTTGTCCTTTTCTGGACTTCCCTGTTGCTGGACTGCTCCCCATGAGGGCTGGCATCATGGCTGGTTCTGCTCTTCAGTCAGTGTCCATCAGGGCTTAATGCCTGACACACAGTAAGAGGCCAACATATGCTGCTGACTGGGTGAATGCGTAAGTGCACAAGTCGCTGTCTGGCTTGTGTAGCAGGAAGGACATGAACACATGCCATGGAATTAGTAAGAAAGGCCTTTCCAAAGAAACTATTTTGTTTATAGGGCATTGTCTTTATGTTTTTGGGAAAAGCTGAGCATTGAAGAGGCAGAATAAAGACTGGACTTGGAGTGAGACATGGCCACACAATAGTGCTATGGGGAATCCTCCTGCCACAGGTGCAAAGGGCACAGGCAGCTGCCCAGCCATGCCCCTCGGGAATTTTTGGTGCGTTTTCACATGGGACTGTGGGCACGACCCTTGCACTAAGCATGTGTGAGAAGAAGGTTGGGTGGCCCCGCCCTCTCGTGGCCAGGGCATTGGTTCAGGGAGCGGCCTGCCAACTAGACAGTGGCCAAGTCCTGTTGCATCTCTCTCCCCATGTAAAACGAAAGAGACAGAATGTGGGACAGGGTGGGCTGAGGACTGTTTACGCAGAGACTTGATAAGCTCTGAAACTGCCCACGCTATACTTCCAAGCAGATGCACAGGCCAGCATGCACTCTGCGTGCCCAGCATGGACAGTAGCTCCTGTCTACATATGGCCATAACCTGTGAGACACAGGTCACGCTCTTAGGAAGGCTGCTCCTGCCTTTAGGGCTTTAAGTCAGAGCATCTTCACCATCACAAACAACTAAGACTGCAAAGGTAAAAATTCATATTTTTCAAGACTATACAGTGATAAACAGTGGAACTATGTCTACAAGGAAAAGTCTGAGGAAAAGACCCCAGGAACACATCTTAGAAACTGTTCTGTGTCCGGATCAGGCAGGTTTACCGAACAGTTAGGTGCAGGAGTCTGAGAGATGTCAAGGGGTTGAGACGTAAATGGAAAGCCTCTTCTACTTACTTGAGGTATCTTGGGCCTGTTGATTTCTTCTAAGATTTTCTCTCAGTACCCGTATAACTTCTTTTTGATAGTCTAAGGTGGCTTTTACAGAAGTCATCCTAATAGAAGAAGAAAAGAAAGACTTTAATGGCAGACTAAAAAGACCTGTAGACAAGAATTTTCTGCTGAGACCATCACAGTGACAGAACATCCCCAAGAGGCAGGAGTGACGTCCTCATGCAGCTCCTGCAGGGGAGGGGGGTGGTCCTCACATGGGGGCAGGGACAACATTCTTAACTACTAGCTGGTACTGAGCAGTATATCTGGAGGGACCATGACGCCATTAGATGTTTACCATGAGGTCCTAGAAACAGCTAGAAGGCTCAGCAATTCCCTAACAGTTCCCTTCCCAGGATGTCAGGGAAGCCAACACAGGCTGTGGCCTGGAATGCGAACTGCTGATCCGCAGTGCTAAATTACAGGGCTTCCTGTCTTTCTCAGATAGTATCTTTTTTCAGATGCTCTGAAAGTATCTGCTGACTCTGAGCTGTAAGTCAAACTGCTTTTCATAATTAACAGGTGCAAATGCCACTGAAACCAACAGACTTAGCAAGAGGAAGGCTAGTTAAGTGAGACAGCACCAAGGTACAGAGAGCCACTTTGGGGCAGATTAGTTATCATTAAATATTTATCAGAGGTTTAGGGAAGAATAAAGAGTTGGGGGTCAGAAGGGCTTTTAAGAAATGCTCTATTACTGGGCCTCCCCTGGTGGCGCAGCGGTTGAGCGCTGGGCTGGGAGGCTGCCCGCAGCCTCTGCAGTGCCGGTTCGTTCCCCGGCTGCCGGCAAGGGTCCCACAAGAAAAAAAAAAAAAAAAGAAATGCTCTATTACAAATCGAGCTTTGACTATTAAGGTTAGGACCAGAGAGATTCAACAGTTTGCTGAAGTGATACCTTAGTAAGTGGCAACATCTCCCTTCTCACTCAGTTTCCCTGCCTGCTTAGTATCTTTTCCTGTGCTGCTTCACCAAGGCCACGGGCATGCTATCACACAGCACCGTGCATAGACAGCCCTAGAGGAGACTGTGCTCCTGGAGACAGGTGCCACAAACGACAAGGAGGTACAGCCCCCATGTGACACAACAGAAAGACCAACACAAACCTTAGTCAACGGCTAAACATACAATAACACTTTCAAGCCACACAAGGACTGTTCTTGAGCTGTTACTATGATTGATAAAAAAACACCCCAAAGCACAGTGTTGTTAATTGATCACAATTGTCATTAGTTGAAGAATTTCATATGCTTAAAATCTGGATGTATTTGTTTCAAAGAAACAATTAAGAGTATCTTCATAAACCTTATTTTAAAAAGTTAACTAGTGCCGATAAATTATATAGTATAGAAGGGGGATTTAAGTCACTTAAATCATGTCCGATTAAGGCAAAGACATACTCCTTTTCAAACTCCTTGGTGAGTTTCATCTTCTCCAGGTCTACTTTGACCAGCTTTGTTTTGAGATCTTCAATTTCTTCTTTATAAGGTTTAGCTCCCAAAGCGGCCTTGTCCTACATTTTTTAGGGAAGACAAAGACAAAGATGATTTTAAAGTAGTTTCAAAGAATCCCCTTTGAGTGGGTAGGACCATTTAAGAACAGCCAACTCCAAATAAATGAAAAACAGGGAAGATCACTTAACAGCAAAACAAATAACAACTAGACATTTCATGCGAAGAATTTCTAAAGCCGACATGTGGTTAGAGAACATACAGCTTTTAGATCTTAAATTCTTTTCCAAGTAAAAAATGATGCACCTGAACAAAATGAAACCAAAAGGCTGAAAATCATGGAGTGGTTGGTGTCATCTACAAGCCCCCCAAGTGTTTTCTCCGCGTGGACACCTGTATCCATCCATTTATTTGTCATTCACCTGCTCCCAGAAACACTTTAAGATCCCCATGTGCAAAAGAAGCGGGACCTGCTCCATCTCACTTGCGCCCGGTCTCTCTCCACTGGTCCCACAGCTGGGTCCCCACAGCTCTGCTCTAGCTCGGAGTCCTCCCCAGCTCCCTAAGTCATTGCGCATCTCGGGGTCCCAGAGGCACCTCTCCTCTGGGTGCTCGGGCCTGAACCCCAGAGTCATCTCATTTCTGGCAGTCGTTTGCTTTCTCAGTGTGAGCACAGCCCTTCACACAGGTATAGGGCGATGAGCAACAGATTGGAGTGCCAAACCTCCCGCCACATTCAACAGTAACAGCAAAAACCTTTTTTTTTAAATGAAAAGAGCTTAAGTCACCTGAAGGGCTTGCATCATTTCTTTTGTTTTCTCAAGGCATTCATTTGATTCATTAACTTTCCCTTGAAGTTTTGCTATCACATCAGTCATCATCTCAAGTTCTTTCTGAATTTTTATAATCTTGCTTTCTTTATGCCTCGCGCTGTCTTTAGCTTCACACAGTGAGGCTTCCAGCTCCTGAATCCTCTATGAGAAACATATACACATTTAAGACGGAATCACAGTAGATGAGTTTGAGACAAAGACAGTCGCATTTAGGTATTAACTTTTCACAGACTGCGTTAACAAAGGATAGAAAATAAGGCAAGTATCTATCTAGAAACTGGTGATGTTTGGATTAAAAATGCCCAGATTTTGCCTTCTAATGTTTATTTTATTGACTGGTTAGCACACTCCCATTTCAACACTCACAGAAAGCACTTTTGCCAGCTGACTCTTTAACATGTATAGTTCACATTTCCCTTTATTTTTTTATTTTATTTTTTTTTTATAGAGGCATGCTTTATTTATTTGTTTGCTGGTTTGTTTGTTTGTTTTGTTTATACATGCACTGGGTACAGTCAGAAGCGCGGGAGGGCGAGAGAATTCACCAGAGCCAGAGCGGGGAGCAGAGCAGGCAGAAGGACCGAAGTACACTGCTGAGGGGAGCAGCGGGCGGCAGGAGAGGTCTGCGCGCCATGTGGGACCCTCCTCTGGTGGCCGGGGAGCAGCCGGGGATCGAACCGGCGCCGCAGAGGCCGCGCGCAGCTTCGCAACCCAGCGCTCAACCGCTGCGCCACCGGGGAGGCCCTTTCCCTTTATTTTTGAGTTAAATTTTTCAAATTGAAAAATACAAGAGAAAAATTCAAAATTCATTCAAGGCATATAATGAAGAGCAAGTTTCCCGAGCTCAGACCCAGCTGACCCTGATACAATGGCCACTGAGTCCTCCGGGGTCCCCTTCCTGAGATGCCTGTGCTTCCTGGGGCGTGCTGCACGCAGCTCACCAACACCAGCTGCATGCACAGCTACACAACACACACCCTGCTCTGTTCTTTTTCACTTGAAAAGGTATATTCTAGATCCTTCCATTACCGGCACAGATAGCTCTCTCACGTTTCTGTTTTTATGGGCTTTGTGGAGGTACCATAATTTGGCTAAGCCATTATGTAATGGTAAATATTTTAGGTTATTTCTAGGTTTTTGCAAGTCAGAAGTACTTGAATATAGTTACCTGACTTTGCTTGTGGGTGACAGAGTATTTACTTGCACATACATGGAGGTTTCCTGGATAAAGTCTGCGTTTTGGGCCCACCTATCATTTATTTTTTTTGACTCAGGTAGGAATCCAGGCTTGCTTTATTCCCGATGGCTGGGTGGTGGTCTTGAGCCAACAGAGAGGACCAGCTCTTCCCCATGACAGGGTTGTCACCATGACCAGGACCCAGTGCTCAGGCTAATCTAGAGGCACTACTGCACACTCTGCTCTGTCCTGACCCCACACGCCAGGCTGCTCTAGCTGGGAGGCCCAAGCAGCAGCATTTTGCTCTGTTCTCCGGAAGGCACTTCCTTGGGTCGCTGAAGAAGGAGTTTCCCTGTTTTTTTATCTTACTGCCTTTGGTTAGTTGTGTTTCATATTTCTCTTATTTCCATCTCTACCAGCTGAGATGGACAACTGACCAACAAATCCACATGCTGTACATTCACATTCTAGTTTCCACCAGCAAATGATCATTGAACTGTGGTCAATGTTAAAAAATGACATATGATTATTCGTGTTGCCCACCAAGTCATTTTGTGTGTTAATAAAATAGTGTGCTTACTTAACTACTCCCAGGTTAGGGAGTAGTGACTGGACCATTCAATTAAAATACTAATTCTTAGACACAGTTAATCTGCATAAGAAATATGTTGCATGTTTAACCTCTTAAAGCTTTATTTTGATTAAGAATGAATTTATTTTTCCCTTTAAACCAGTTCTGTATACAGACAAGTTATAGTTTCATTGGAAGTCATGTGATTTTGGAAATTATAATCTAAGATACTGCAAGATAGTTCTGTTTTATAATCCAAAGGGCAGATCTTACATAATAGGACTATATGTAAAAAATAAGACACACATGGTACGTGTTTCTTAACAGATACATTCAGTGCTATAATTTTTCTCTGAAATGTTATACAGATGCACTGTGACTGATAAAACTGCTATTGAAAAGATAAGGAATCACATACCTCTGAGGTGGGCTGTGGGGCTCTGGCTATAACATGATTCTTATCATCTTGGGGAGCAGGGTTGACAAGGGCAACAGATGTCTGGGGGATTTTCAAAGTTTTGTAGTTTTTAAACAGTTTTTCATTTATCTCTTTCATTGATTTCAGTTTCTGCTCCCATTCTTTAGCGACAACAGCCTTTCTTACCTCAAACTCTGTTGATTCATTCATTATAGCCTAATGGATAGTGAAAACACAATTCTGGCTCTAAAATTATAGATTACAGGTATATGTTGAAATCCATTATTCAGAATGTTTTAAGGGCCTCTCCGGTGGCACAGTGGGATGAGCGTAGCACCATGAAGCTGTCCGCAGCCTCTGCAGCACAGGTTCGATCTCCAGCCAGCCAGGGAGATTCCCACAAGGCACAGCAGATCTCTCCTGTCGCACCCGTTGCTCCCGTCAGCAGCGTATTTCGGTCGCCTGCCTGTTCTGCTCCCTGTTCTCTCTCTGGTGAATTCTCTCACTATCCCGCACCTCTGACCTGTACCCCAGCTCTTGCATAAATAAATCTTAAAAAAAAGAAGAAAAACCTGTAGGTTGTAATTGAAGAGGAAGTGATATTTAAAAAAAATATATATTCTAAAACAAAACTTCAAAAGAATGTGAATTGTTTCTGGTTTGCATTGGTTCCCACAATTTCAGATGGTGGAAGCTGATGATGCAAATTAAAGAATAAGGACCAGGAGGCCTCACTGCTTTGCAGGATGACAGTCTCACTATTAGCTCAGCACTGAGGCGTGGGAGGACTCTGAGTTGTGCAGGGAAGGCCATTATCTATGTCATGGCTAAAAACAGAACCTTAGAAGACATCAGATAGCATGTCTGATGGGCCATCTGACAGCTGATAAGCTTAACGACTGTCCTGCTTCATTTTAAACCTCAGTGTCTATAGGGAAAAAGGTCACTGATATTTGGTAAGTGATGTGAAAACCCTGCATTCCCGTGTGGGACAGTAGTCAGACCCCAGCCTCTGTGACGTGGGGGACGGACTGAATCCACCCTCTTTCTGCCTTTGCTCTTACTACGAGGACTTGGCTGTCACCTGGTGACTTTATGTTATTTCCATCAGACGTGTCTGCTGGGTGGTATATGGCTGGCAACCTGGACTGTCCTGGGGTCTGCCCAGCCTCACACCAAGCAAGCTCCCAGTTTCCCTGCCTCAGACAAATGCCTCCTATCTACACTGGGGCCTCAACAGCATAGAAAAATCAGTGATTACAGAGATGATCTTAAACAGACATTGGATCTATGCTTTTCTTTGTTGATCATGCACTTTTTTTGGGAAACAGCCTATTTATTTTGTTAGCTTTGGGTAATCAATGAAGAGGATTAACGACCCTTGGGAAAACTTTAAAAAAAATAAAAACTTTATTTCCATGGGATTTAAGTGTATTTTCCAGATGAAATTAAAGTGTCGGGAAAGAATCACCCAACAGGTGAACGCACAAATCCAGTCCTGGAGGCACTGGTGTTGACCCAGCTCCCTACTCCAGTTGCCTACTCTGATCTCTGCCTATTTCACCAGGTTGTGTGGGGGCAGGGAAGACTCCAGAAGTCAGACTGGGTGTTCTCATCAGAGCAAAGTGAAACAGAAGAGTGAACTGACTGTGAGCAGCCTCAGGTCTTGGGAATCTGTCCCTGGGCCGACCACCCTGGGAACAAAGATCCACATTTGACCCACCAGGTGGCAGGGCCAGTGCAGGCGATCCCAGCAGCGGCACGGACATAGGCGGGGCCCCAGGGCATTTGAGTGGCCGCCAGCTGGTCTGTGTGGCCTCCCAGCCTGCACCATGCCTGCACCCACATCAGCTGTCATCACGGGAAGGCTCACTGCCCACAGGAATGACATGTGAGGAAGGGTGAGGGGACTCCCCATGCGGAATCTGAGGACAACACACCAGGGTCCCTTCTCCATGAGGATAAGCCCGGGGCCTGAGTGCCTTAAGGAAGCATGACCTGTGAGGGGGAATAGGCTTTACCGTCACAATTTTTTTCAAAGCATAGATGAAAAATGAAAGAGCACAAACTTAACGTTAAGTCCTTTTAAGAAGTAAAAAATTGGAGCAAACAACGAAAGAAAGAAAGAACACAATAAAAATTCCTACTTACAATTATCTTGTTATTATAAAGGTTATTCACTTGACTGGGCCTGTCGTTTTTTCTCTGGATACCATTTTTAAGCTTTTCTGTGTCAACATGAGTATTTAACCACTCTTTCAAAAAGTGGGTCATCACTTTCCTATTACTTAGGACTTCTTCAAATTCAGTATTTATGTTGTGGAAGTTATTTTCTGTGAGATCACTGAGAATTTCCTGGTGAAAAAAATTAAGCAACGAATAACCCAAACATGAGTGAAGTTTTAAACCAAACACCGTAGTCAAATATAAAATAAATACCATAAAAAAGGGGAGAGACTACAATGCTGAACTGTCATTCTTACTAGTCTGAAGTAAATACAATTCTAATTTATAATTCCGTACTTGGATGATAAAACGTTAGCATTGAAGGCTATGGACAGGGCACGTCTGCTATCCTACCCCAGGGCTGAAGCCCGGGGCCATGTGAGTGTGCCCGAGGGCCGCAGTGCTAGAGGAGCCAGGCAGCTGTGCATGCACACACAGGCCTGTGGAGGGCCAGGCCTTACTCTGCAGGGACCACAAGTCATCCCACATGTGGTCACTGTGGCCGAAATACCAGATTCTGAGCAGAAAAGAAATCCAAAAGCATATCCTGGGGTTCCAGGAATCTGCACTTGCTGACATGAGGTCAGTTTTCCTATGCTGTGGGATTCTGAAGGAGCTAGTCCCCTTCTTACATTCTCTGCACTTGGCCAGCTGCCGCTTGGT